GTCAGCAATGCCCTGCTGTTCTGCTTTTTTTTTGCAAGCAAACCTACTCATGATAAATTTTTTTTTATAAATTGTATACATTAAAGTACATAGATGACATCAACTATATTACTTTTTCCATACTTGCTTCATTGACCCAGGGTACGGGGGGGGGGCAGAGCGGGGATATGACTTTTATTTTTAGTGGTACTAAGATGGAACCCAGTACCTCAGGTATGCTAGGCAAGTACTGTACTACTGAGCTACATCTACAGCCCTCTTTCTTAAAAAAAAAAAAAAAAATTACATTGTGGTAGAAATAATGTATACTGAAATTTACAGTTTTACCATACACACTTAAATGTATGGTCTGAGGAGTTTTGACAAATATATATACCTGTGGAACCAATACCCCAGTCAAAAGCTATGAGAAATAAATTTCTACTATTTATAAATTCCTAATCTAAAGTATCTTCTTGTGGCTGCCCAAATAAACTAAGACAATATTTTATAAATATTGAGAAGAAATTCACAAAATTTAAAATTCAGTTTTTTAGGTGGTAGTGGTACTGGAAATTATAGTCAGGAAACACTAAGCAATGCCCCTTGCCTTTTAAAATTTTACTTTGAGACAGGGTCTTGCTAAGTTGCTGAAACTGGCCTCAAACTTCTGATCCCTACCTTACCCTCGAGAGTATGGAATCATTGGCTTGCACCACTGTGCTCACTAAAATTTTGCACTATTCTGCTTTGTCCCACCAGGATGTGAATCATCCCTTTGTCTATCATATCTACACTGTATAAGTCACCCCTCCCCAAGATGGCAACTAGTACTTAGTTGCCATCTTATCAATCCATTGTCACAGTAATACGGTGCTTGCATTCAAGTAACTCATTTTTCTTAATAATGGTCCCAAAGCACAAGGAATAATGATGCTGACAAATCAGACAGTGCCAAAAAGAAACTGAACAGTGGTTCTCTTGATGGAAGAGGTGAGAGTTCTCAATAAGGAAAGGAAAAGGGGCTGCTCAGCGGCACAATGCCTGCCTGGCAAGTGCGAGGTCATGAGTTCGATTCTCAGTACCAGAAAAAAAAAAAAAAGGAAAAAATTGTATGCTGAGATTACTAAGCTCTATACTAAGATGGAATCTTCTATCCATGAAATTGTCCTACAGGGCTGTGATGTTATGTCAGGGTCACCAGGTAGGCAAAATGGCAGTTACAACTGAGATGGCTGTCATCTTGTTAAGCTGGTGGTTCCCTATACTGCTGTGCTCTAGGTACCTTCATATAAGTAAATCACAGAATTTGTCTTTCTGTGACCAGTTTATTTCAATTAGCATGATGACTTTAGGGTTCACTCAGGACATACCATGTGTCAAAACATCTTTCCTTCTGAAGGCTGAATAATAGTCTATTGTCTTACCACATTTTGTTTATGCATTTATTTGCTGATGAACATTTGATTCTACCCTTTGTCTATAATGTCAAGCTGTTATGAACATGTTTGAATGCCTGTCTTCTTCCCTTTGAGGTATATTGCCAGAAGTGGGGAGGCATCTTTTATAATATAAAAAATACCAAGAGCAAATGTCTATCAATGAATTAGATACAAGAGGCAGCAGACAAATTCTAGAAAGACACAAATACCAAAAGTGACTCAAGAAGAAATACACTATCTGAATAGATGTACAAGTCAAGAAATTGAATACAGGATAGATACTAGGAAACAGACAGATATATCTTTTGTAGATGGGAAGGGAACCAAGGGATGGAGGGAGGGGGAAAGGGAGGGAAATAGGAAGTAAATATAATTAAGATACAGTATGTTGCTGGGCATGGTAGCGCACGCCTGTAATCCTAACACTTGGCAGGTTGAGGCAGGAGGATCATTGTGAGTTTGAGACCAGCGTAGGCTACAAAGTGAGCTCAAAGCCAGCCTGAACTACATAGTGAGACTCTGTCTCAAAAAGACCAAAAAAAAAAAAAAAAAGATACAGTATGTTATATACATATGTCAGTTCCTCACAATGAATGCAATTATGTACAGCAAACGTACTGATACATTTTTAAATAAATTCATTTTATATTTATAGAGGATTCAATGTATAATGAGGGATAGATTAATTTTTAAACAAGATTTGAACATATTCAACTCAAGGATATAGAAAACAATGGGAAAAAAAGGTAAGGAAATAAAGAATGAATCAAATAAAAGGAAAGCAGAAATCAATAAATTAGAAAATGACACTATTATGTAAGTGTAAGAACAAATTCTTTAAAAACAAAAAGCAAAAACAAAGCAAAACAAAAACTTAATAGTGAGGCTAAGAAAAAGAGAAAGACCAAACGTAAGTAATGAGAGTGTAAATTCAAATACAGAGAAGACAAAGCAAAATGCCATGAATAACTCAATATAGTTGAAAAATTTAAATGGAAACTATCTCAAGCAAAGAAATAAAATTAATTAAATATGTGGGAGATGTAGCTGAAATGAAAACGTTGTTAGTAACTAAAGTAGCACCAGATCCATTTTTAGATAATTTTTTCAGGCCCTCAAGAAACAAGAAATATTTATGCTATTTAAACATTTTATACTGTATACATCAAATATGAAAAATTTAATTTTTTATTACATATCCAATATATTAATATCTCAGAGAAATTTACTAAAAGATTCCTGTGTAATCTCTGAGAGAGATCCTGTCTTAGCCAGTGCTAGCCAGAACCAAAGGACACAGTCCTAAGGATTCTGAGGCTTTCCACCATGAAAAACAGGTTGTTCTTGAAAATGAGCGAAGCATGGGTCCAGTCTGGAGAGGATAGCAATGGCAGGGTGGGGGAAACGTGGAACAGGTCAGAAGACTGGGCTTTCATGCTGGCTGTACTGAATAATTCAGGATAACCTTAACCATTTCTATGGGACTCAATTTCTTTACATGCTAAAGGAGTTAGAATAAATGATCTTGGACCTTTTAATGGTTCCCAAATTTCTGATCAAAAAGAATCAGTGCGAACCCCAAGAGGAGGCAAAACATTCATTAGGATGACTGAATAAGACAGCTCTTGGTGTGCCTGCTCAGCCCAAATCCTCCTATAGTATTCTCTGTCCACCTCAACTACAGGACTGGTGGCCTGAATCACAACTGTTCTCCCGTGGAAAAAAGTGAGCAGCTGAAGCCAATGTTCAGAGAGATTAAAGCAATACACGAAGGGGTCACAGACAAGATCCATAAGGGTACAAAGTTTATTTTGCTGTACGATACCAGATCAGTTCGAGTCTAGTACACCTTTAGTAAATAACTGTCGATGCTGAATTTAATTCCTTTACATAGTTTTCATGAGATATTCCCATATTTCTCTAATCATTCCTCTTTTACCCTCCTCTTAAGCTGGTACAAGTTACCAGGAAGACCTATTAAACAGTATGGAACTCTCCCCTTCAGAACCACCACTCACCTCACTACAAGTATATGCCTGGTCTCAGGGAACTAACATGAAGACTGAACTGCTCAAGTTCCTGCCAGGAATATACAACTGGCATATAAGCAGAATGAGTCAGTGGCACTGGAAAGTTGTTACAGAAACCAGCGAGGTATATAGAAGCTAACTGGCAACATGCTAACATACAGAGAAGGGTAGTAGACAATGGTGGTTGAGAGATATCTCCATATATTCTTTTTGGACAGAATGTCCCCCAAATTCCAATGTTGCAATCCTAACCCCCAATGTTATAGTATTAAGAGATGGAGCCTTTAATAAGCAATTAGGTGATAAGGGTGGACCCCCTCATGGTAGGATTGCTGCTCTTATAAAAAGACACAAGTTTGTTCTTTTTGCTCTCTACCATGAGGATAAAATGAGAAGATGGTTTATCTGTAAACCACTGGAAGTAGTCTCTCATCAGACACCTTGATCTTTCTAGTCTCCATAACTGAGAAATAATGGTTAAAGCAGCCTGAATTTAGACAGCTCCTTCCAATGAAGTCCTTTTTTCTCCTTTAAGTTGTAAATTTCCCTTCCCATTAGTCAAAGCCAAATGCAAACTTTCCCAAGTGCTATTCACTGTCTTGATTGTGGATTCATGGACTTATTATGAACCAAATTTTATTATTTATGTATATGTAGCTTAAGTGCACACGAATAGTTATGAAAAGATGTACTAACAATGGTACATTTAAGGAAGTCTTGCACTTAAGATTTTGTTTATCTCACTGCCTTCCTACTGCTTCTACCTTCAGCTCCCAAACCCCTCCTATCCTTCATGGAACTAAGCACTTACAACCAGAAAAACTAAAATATAAGACCTTACACATCTAAAAAAGCTTATCAAGGTTTGTATTTTAATCTCTAAATCCCTTCTAGGAGTTAAACATTAGTGTCCCCTGGGATAATTAATTTACCATAAACCAGTGTTATGTTTTACATCAAAACCCTTAGGGCTGGACATACACCTCAGTGGCAAAGCATGTGTTTTGGAGGGCAAAACAGAGGGAGGGCACCAACCCTCCCCCTCAACATAACCTCTTTGATTATCTCTTTTAAGAACAGAGACAAGTCGTTGATCTCCAAATTTGCAAGCAGTGTCTGGTACAGAACAGAATGATCTAAATTATGCAGGACTTTACAGGTCATGACAAAGACTTTAGATTTTTGTTAGTTATTTGTTTTTTGTAGTACTGGGGATTCAATCCAGGGCTTTGGACATAGTAGGGAAGAGCACTACCACTGAGCTACATCCCAAGCCCTTTATTTCCTTTTTGTTTTTTGAAACAGGGTCTTGTTGTTACCCAGACTGGTCCTAAACCTGAAGTCCCCTGCCTCAGCCTAGGATATGCCACCGTGTCTAAACAAAGTCATTAGAGGATTTTGAAGCAAGAACTGGCATTATCTGGTTTATTTTTAAAATAAGAATCACTCTTGCTGCTGTGTGGAAAAAATCTATATGAAGGAAATATGAAGGCAGGGTACCAAAGAGTATCGCAAAAGGAACAGATATACATGTTCACTAAGAAACACAAAAATTTTCACAGCAACTTTATTCATAAAGACCACAAACTGGAAACAATCCAAATTTACATCAACATTAGATTGAATAAATTGTAGAACAATCATATAATGGAATACTACACAGGTAAAACATGAACTGCTGCTACATACAACATAGATTACTCTTGTAGATAATGTTCAAAAAAACTGCATATAATTATCTCATTTACATATAATCTTAAAATAGGCAAAACTGATGGCAATAAAAGTCAGAATAACAGTTGTCTGTGTGTGGGAGAGCTATAAAGTACCTCCTGGGGTAACAAATATTTTCTACCTTGATCTGGGTGGCACATTCAAGGGTATATAAAAAAACTCAGAGGTATACACTTACACTTGTAAACTTTTATCTCAATAAAAGACAAAAATATAATGAAAAATTGTAGAGATATGATATGTTAACAAATAGTGTTTATCTTCCAAATTTTTTTTCTGGTTTTCCTCCATGATGCATGGGGTCATTTACACTCCTTCACCTTTGGCATGACCAAGGGCTGCTAAGGACCTACAAGTTATTTGCTCAACTTTCTTTTTTCAGTTCCCAAGTGAGCAGCCAAACCCTGATGCTATCTGCTTTATCAGCCAAGTCCTAGAACGAGGACAATTTACAGCAGGGACCAGTGATCTTTTTTCTATAAAGGGCCATAAGGTAAATATTTTAGGCATATTAAAAATACTTGGCTCTGCCACTGTAGAGAAAAAGCAGCCATAGACAACACATACATGGACAAGGCTGTACTCCAATAAACTTTATTTGGAAACACAGGACAGATTCTATCTGTGGGCTTTAGTCTGCCGGCTCCTTACCTACAGCAGTCTTTAGCCAAGCTGCAATAGACACTGTGTCTGAGACACTAAGATTTTGCAGTTGTTACCTCATGGCAGCCCAGCCCATCCTGACACAGGAATTGATTCCATTTTTAAAAGACTTAAGAACTAACTACTGAACACCTGACTTAGTGATTAATTGGCAAGGATTTAGGAAACTGCTATTGGAGGAAGGAAAAAATAACTTACATGGAGGCAATTCCTACTATACAGAAGTGAAACTGTCCGTGAGATAAACAGAAAGGCAGATAATCTATTCTTTATTAAAGAAAATGTAGAAAAATAAATTACTTTGTTGTCATTGGCTGCATTTGGCAGAATGTACAGAAGAGATGAACTAAAAAAGGAATCAGTTTGCAGGCAGAAATGAAATGAATCAGGCAGGAATTCATAAACTCAAGTATTTACTTGGTAGTATGAGGCAACTTTTCAGTTACAAGATAAAAATGAGAAATCCTTTACCCCAAAGGTTGATTAAAACCTAATTCTGCAGCAAAGATGACTATCACATCTATCATTAGGATCTCTGAATGAGTTTATGTGCCTCAGACTAAAAAGCCCAATCAAGAGTTAATGCTTCAAATTTGAAAAAGTAATTTTAAGAGAGATTAAGGGTATGGCTCTTTTCTTTAAATCTCAAAGGCCCCACTAACCAAAAATTAAGTTCAGAGATGCATAGGAACAAGCAAAGAAATGTAGCAAATCTAAAAGTACACGTTAATCAGCTATCCATTGGGTATCTCCCTTGGGGAGATGATGAGCACATTCTGCAGGTAGGAAAGCAAGCGAAATGAACATCTAGTAACCAGAAGGCCTAAGTCACCCTTCTAATATTTTGTTAAATTTACTTACTTTTAAATTCCAGAAGAGTCAGAAATCAGCTGTAAAGCAAAGTAACAAGTAAATAATATGCCAATTTTTCCTAGGGTTGATGTTTACAAAAGGAAAAATGGGTATTAACTTGTATGTGGCATTATCTTTCTCCAATACCAAATGTAACTTTTTGATTACTGAAGTAGTATCTTAGTTCAACTTAAACAGCTGTACAATCTCCTCTCTATATGTAGGTTCCTTTGGAAATTAAAAAAAATTAAAGATTCCATGCCATGAATGTACTTAATATTACAAAGTAGATTTAAGTGAGTACATCTGAGTTTGAATCGTACTCATGCTTACTAGGGAAAGTGGCAATCTCAGTTTGTTTCCTTAACAACATCCGCAATGTTCCACCCACATGCTAAGCACTGCACTAAATTCTGGGAATACAGTAACAAGGTTCCTAGTCACAAAGAATTTAGCTTCACTTCTTAATTTATAATATGTGGCTGAGAACTACCCAGTGAACAGGTAGGATCACTGTAAAGGTCAAATGAAACTGCAAACAGCTTCAAAGATCATAAAACACCATACAAATACTTATTTATCCAAACATTTACTCAAATGCCAGGCATTGTGCTAAGCATTAGAGATGTAACAGTGAGCAAGTCTATTTATGGTCCCTGCCCTTATAAAGCTTACTCTAGTAGTGATCAATACGCTGCAATAACAAGTGTTAATTAAGTGTATGGCTGAGGAAGCACAGGGAGTACTGAGAGTGCACGGTTGGGCCACTTGGTCCAGAGGGCATCAGTGAAGGCTTTCTAGACAAAGTAGCATATAAACTGAGACCAGAAAGATGAACAGAAATTTCTATTTTATTCTAAGAGCAATGATGAAAGCAGTGGAGTGACATGATTAGACTGACTCGGTTTTTGCTTGGGCAAAGGAAACTAGACAGTTGGCAGTGACAGTGCCACCTATGAAAGAAAGAAGGAAAAAGAGAGGACAAGCAGGGGTGGGGGCAAGATCAATGGCACGGTGTGGTGCCTGTGAAACAGCGTAAGTGGATTTATGTTAACAGTTAGGTATAACTTAGGAAAAAAAAAATCTAGAAAGGGGATATGAATTTGGGATCTGCATATAGGTGGTAACTGAAGCAGTACGAGTTGGGATCAGCCAGGGATATAATTCAAGATAGGTAAGGGCAATGAAGTTTAGGCAGACTTGAAAAAATTAGTAAAGTAAAACCTTAAGGTCAGATACTTGAGGGAAAAGGAGCCTGCAAAGAATGAGAATGCATACCTGGAGAAGATTATCTCCTCAAAGCTAAAATAAAGTAATTGAGTATTTCAGTGATTTTGACAAGCAGTAAGAGAGTTTGGTAGAACAGTTTGGCAATATGGGAGACTGGGAAAGCAAACCCTTCAGAATAATTAGTGGAAATGAGAGATTTGGGGAAGTAACTGTTAAGGACATCAAGTTTTTTTTAAAATGGTACTTACTTTAACTATATTCACCAATACAACAGGATCAATAACAACTATATACTTAAAAATAAGACTGTCATGCATCTACAAAATTTACAGAAAACAGTAAAATACACTTTGTTTTTCTACAGACAAGACTAGTTATAGCAAATTCCCCAGTGCCTAGGATCAAGTTTTAAATCCTTGGCTTATATCCCCACCCACCCCCAAAACACAACTAGATGATATGAACTAACTTTAATATCATCTTAAGCAAAACATACTAGAACATCACAAAATGTACAAGACTTCATTATTTGAGGAACTGAGACTACAAAGCAGAAACAGCTTCCAGGTCTTCCAATAAAGCACTTGCTATGAAAGACAATACTCGAAGCTATCAGGAAATTACCGGTAGATTATTTTTTCAGTTTTTGTCTACATTGTTTTTCTAGTTATTTAAGCTTCATCTTTGCTGATCAAATCATACTTTCTCCACACTTCTTTTTTCTGCCCTAATTATAATAAAAGATCTCCTTAATCTTGATCTTAGCCAAAAAGCCAAGAAGTGAGAGAATGCCTTAATCTGATTTAATATTACACTGATTTATAAATGTTATTGTGAACTCCTTTATTGATCTTACCAGCCACGTTAGAATGTTGGAATTAATCTTTCCTATCAAGAAATCCCTCAGTTTGTCCAACTTGCTGTCCAATTCTTTTCTACCGGTAATTTGACCTGTCCCTTGAAATAAGATAATGTACATGAGGAGGAGGGTCTACTGGCACTCTGGGAGAAAGAATTCTTCATCATGCCAGGCTGTCCTGTGCACTGCATGGGGGAAGGAATGGTTAGGCTTAAATACCAGCAGAAACCCTTCCCCCCCAGTAAATAATGACAACCTGTAAGATGCCCAAAAATATTTCCCAGCATCCACTGCAAGGGTTACTACCCCTGGTTGAGAACCATGATACAACTTTGGTTCTTAAGATCTTACAGCTTCTATTTAAATTACTAGGAACCAGGTCCTTCTAAATTCTGGGTTGTATCCTGGTTCTTCAAATTTACATTAGTGACCATAAAATAATGTGCTACAATAGTTAAGACAGGACTTTGTAGCACAACAGTTTTCAAATTGTACTTGAGAATCTAAGAGTTACAAGTATTATTTTTTATTTTTAAATCAGTTTCACATATTGGACTTTGCACAGCTAATATACGTTGAAGATTAATTACTGTCACAGCACAAATCCAACATCTTACTAGCAATACAGAATTACTACAATGTTTAAATAACACTGCTTCTTGAGATTTGAAAATTTTCTACTTGTGTACTGTCTTAACTATTGAATGTGTGGAGCACTTTTAAATTCTAGAATAAATCCATTTCCAGCAGCTAACAAAATCTGATACTGTATCATCTTAAAATAAAGCGTTTCCTTTACCCAAGATTTCTTCATAAGGCCATGCAGATAAAGACAAGTAAGCTAAAATATCTCAAATCTCTTGATCCTGAAGTGCAAAAATCTTTTTCTTCACCCTTTTGGTAGACTGAAACTTCCGTCCAGAGTAGAAAAAACAATTACTAATTGGCAATGGTCAAGATTCTATACTTACCACAGTTCTTTAAAAGGTAAGCTGATAAAACAGCCCCTACTTGTAAAAAAATTCATGGGAAATCCCAATAGTAATAATTTAGGAAACTCCAAATTGTAGGAAGTCTCCTAAATCAGCAACTTAAAAATGATTCTTGCTCATCTGATTAAAATCTTGTTTAATTCCTGTTAGTAATATCACTGGGGTCGGTGGGGAGAAGGTGAGCGGGAGAAAAACCTGTCAATATTTACTTTGGACTCAGAAATGCTTTAAAAAAATAGCCTCAAACATTTTGTTAGACAAAATACCTCCACTGTATGTTTGTATGCTTTTCCTTTTCAGAAACTTGTGAACTTGCTATGAGTTTTTGTAAACTGAATTAAATACATTTAAGGAGTTGACGATTTTGGACTATGTATCAGAATTTTAACATTATATTAAACTAAGCTAAAATTTTTGGCATATATCTTCAGAACACCTTAAAAACAGACTTCTAGTTCAACTCACTATCAATACTAAACTCCGTTAAAATCAATTATATCATACAAAGTAAAGGACAATGACTAGTCATTAAGCTAAGTTTCTAAAGTAGAATTCTCATGTTTCAGTCCCACGCTGCCATAGGAGATGGAAAAAAGGCAACTGTTGGAAGGCTGTGAATTCTGATCCGTTTCGATGTCTTGTAATAAACTTGGTGTTTTACAGGAATCTAAATTAGTAAACTTTGAAAAAAATCTTTTTTTTAGAATTGAATTCTTGTTCCAGTGCTGTACCACAAAGACTTATGGATTAGATTCAATTCTTTCTCTCATAAGATCATCCCAGCGGGGATCCATTTCAGTTGTGGCAACCCGGAAAAGAGCTTGAAGATGCTCATCTGTCAATGGCTGGCTCAAGGTGTGTTGGTTTCGTGTCAAATATGCAAAAGCCTTGTCACAGATTTGGTTGCTATCAAACAAGGATGCCACTTTATAGGCAACCCCTTTAATAATTGGGTAAGTTTCAGAAGGCAATCCCGCATAGAACTGCCCCAAGTCTTTGACTCTGTATTCATTCCAAAGGTTAGTGTTTGCCTGAAGTTTTGTTAGCTCCACCCTTACTGAAATAGGCGCATATTCAGGCTTAAAGTTAAATGGATTTGCAAAAAGCTCTAAGTCTTTTTTAATGAATCGGAGGTCCTTAAAATGTCTCTCAAAATCTTTTTGTAGGCGACAGATCACCATTTGATACCTGTCAGGCTCAAATATTTTTTGATCTTCCTTAAATTGCTGTTTTAGCTCATCAACAACTTCGCTGAAGGCAGGAAAATCTGTTAAATCTTGTTCTTCAATTTGTCTCTGAAACAAATTCAGCTTACCTTCAAAAGTACAAATATGGTCAAAGGCAGTAGCAGCAAAGACTCCACTAACCTGCAGTTCTTCACTGAGTTCTCGAAGGTGGTCCATAATATCCACCAAAAAGCCAAAGTCACAAAGCCATTGCTTGTCTGTAAAATGGACCGTCGTGGCCCCTACTGAAACCAAAAATGCTTCTATTTCTTTTCTTAGTGAAAATATCAGTTTTAATGTTTTCCCTCTTCTAAGCCAATTGTTCAGACACCGTCCATTGATCCTTTCACCATGCTCTGATTCAGACTCAGTGAGCAATGGCTGAAATTCCGGTCGCCTAACACCTCTGGTCTTAATCATGACTATCCATTCGGATATGGTATTTACGATTTGATTAACGTCTACATCGTAAGAACTCAACAGTTCCAAGTGAAGAAACCCTGAATAGTGGATAACATTCCAACAGTTGGGGCTCACGGCCTTTTCTCTCATGTACGAGACAAGTCCCGAGTTCTCCCCAATCATCCTCAAAGTGTGAGTGGTGGTCAGTCCAACCATTCGCTGCAAGCTAAGCCCTGCTGTCTGCAGGGCCTCTAGAATCGCCGACATGAGCGCACCGACACTGAAGTGATGAGTCAGGTTGATGATGGTCAGAAGGTCTTCCTGCACCTCCAAATCGGAGTCCACGCCACGGATAAAGACGAGGAGATAGTTCTCATAGGCTACAAAAGCCTGGTCGTCCAGAGCAAGAGAATAGGCCCTAAAGTTCCTGGCTCGATTAAAAAGCTGACTGCGTAGATTATTGTCAATGCTCAAAATCCTCTGCCTCGTGATCTCCGGAGATAAATCAATGCCTTCCAGGACGCCTATCTGATCAGGCAGTACCTCTCTCAGAAACACCTCCATGCACTGGTACACAAAGTCCCCCTCACCCCAGCCGCGGCCCTTCAAAGCCAACAGGCGGCAGAGCCCGAGGCCTGCACGCGCAGCTTTCTCCTCGGGAGTGAGCACGTCGGCGATCGACACATCGCCCTGCCGGAGACGCTCCACCAGGGCCGCGCGCTCCTCCTCCGTCACATACCGCTCGTAGAATTCGTGTTCGGCCTCATAGTGGCGTCTGACATCGCGTTCGCGGGTAGAAGCGACGAGACGGTGACACACCAGGCACAGAGCACCGTTGCCCTCCGGAGGCTCCACCACCAAATAACGCTGGGTCCACTCGGGCCGGAAAACAAGAGCTTCGTCGACTTCCATCTTGCTCCTTTTGGGCGTCATCCACATTCTGCGGGAAGCCGCAAGAGCACCGCAAACCTCAGAGAGGCCACAAGGAGAGGGGAGGAGCCGACCGGGAAAAGCACCTCTTTGGCTCTGCGACAGATCACCTCAGCGGGAAAACACCAGCCTCTGCTATGACAACTCCCTTCCTATTGGCTGGAGATTTCGTATTCTCCTGCAGCTACTAGGAAAAAACCAATAGGAAAAGCGGACAGTGATCTCCATTGCGCACGCTCACATTCTCCCAGCTGGTGGGCTGCAGAGGCTTTAGGGCGGGACGAAGAGATCCAGAAACTCATGCATTTTTAGAAACTTGATTGGCATATAAATTGCCCAATCAATAGCTCTTGCTGAAGGCTGGCGCAGGATGTCGTGAGCCGGAGTGGGAGGAAGAACGTATGCACGAGGCATTGAGGTGATTGGCTAAAGCCACTTCCGGTGAGCATCTAGGCTTTGCCTGTGGTCCTCTGGCACCAAAATGTCACTTGTAGCGGGGGTTATTCGGCGACTGGACGAGACAGTGGTGAACCGCATCGCGGCGGGAGAAGTTATCCAGCGGCCTGCTAATGCCATCAAGGAGATGCTTGAAAACTGGTACGCAGGGTATCGGCCAAGTTCCTTTAAAGGCTACGACGTAACGGGCCGCTCCTCGGAATGGCGCGGACACACCTCCACGCCTGGGCGGAAGCGCGTACTGCGCATGCACCGAGCCGGGGAGGCCGCGGGCACCTAGGGCTATCGCTGGTCCTGCCTTCTCCCTTCCCTGGAAGCGAGAGTTTCTTGAATGCTCTCGCGAGACTTTTGTAGGCGTTTGGGATGTTATTAGTAGAGGGCTATATGTGATATTGTTTTAATAGTGCCGTTAAGTAAAGAAGCTGCTTACAATTATATATGTAAGAAAGTACGAAAATAAAGATATAAAGTGTAAAACCTTAGGGTGGGGAAAAAGTCTTTATTCTTCAGAGGATACCGTGTATCCTCTTTTTTGGCTTTTCTCCGGTACCGGGAACCGAACTCACGACCTTGCGCTTGCCAGGCAGGCGCTTTGCCGCTGAGCTAAATCCCCAGCCCCCCGTGTATTCTCTTATCTTTCCAGAAATAATCCATAGACATCCAAGGGCACACTTCCTTTTTGAGTTTCACTCAAAATAAATCGTTGGAGTTCTAGGACAGGATAATAGACTTTAGGCTTAACTTTCGATGTCTCTTTTGCCAAATTAGTGGCCCCTCTAGGGATCTGCCCTTGGCCGGGGGGCGGGGGGCGCTCAATGAAGAAACCTGACTGTGGGGCTTTCGTCGACTGTAAAACTTAGAGGTATCACAAGCACTGCAGGCGGGGAGGGGAAGAGGTTGAAAACGGGAGGGGGAAGTGGACGTAAGGTTGTAAACCTCAAAAAAGAAACAGCCCCTTAATGAACCTAAGCATTCTTAGTCAGATCCTTTGTATTAAAATCAATTGCTGTTAATAACCTCCGTACATTATTAGAGAAAAAAATCCACCAGAGAAGAATAGCAGGTTTATAGTAAGATTCATTTTGAAAAAACATTCAGGGCAGCGAGACTAAAAGAACAGTGAGCCAGAAAGGAACACAGAAGGAAAGGAAAAGAATTAGAAGGTAGACAAAAGGAGTAGGGAATCTCCGGATATTTTCTCCTTCTGATTTGTCACAGTACTAGCAGTAGTAGGCAAGCTTTTCTTTCTGCAATATTAGAATGAACTGACATAATAACTCTGGTCAGTTATTGTACTGTGCCTGCACAGTGTACAAAATTAAATAGTTCGGTGGCTTATAATTAATTCTGAAGAGATTTTTGTATAAAATCCATTTAATTGCTTTTAAATACATGTCAAGATGACTAATACAACTTCAGTGCTGGGGCTCCTGAGAAAGGTCTTAATATTTATTGAGTTGTCTTATTTTTGAATAGATAATTTTCCTATTCAGTTGATAACTTCTCATGCAGCCCCAGGCTGAATTTGTTTTTTCTGTAGTTATATGCTTATACACTGCTCTTTAAAAGCACAAAAGATTTGTTAACTTGTTAAAGAACTTTCTATATTGACATTTTTTCTTTCTTTCATTGTAGGTGTATTGTCTTAAAGGATAATGATAGAGAAAAACATTCAGCATTTTAAAATGATATTTTATTAGAATCACTTAGGATCTAGAAGTTGAGTAGAGTTGAAGTAACAGTAAAGTTAGTTGCGAGTAAGAGGCATATGCCAAAAAGATCCTACTTCTGCTTATCTTTTTTCCATAGAGGAAGAGAAGTATTGCTGAATATCCTACTGGAAAAGATTGGTCTGCCTTTCTCTGTTATACACTATGTAAACTCATATAATGTAGACGTTGAGCCTGCAAAATAAAGGAAAAACATATTAATCTAGCACTTTCGTATTTATCTAGAGTTTTTATTACTATTTGGTCCATATTAAAATATGCACATCAGAGTGGTTGGAGGCTGATGAGTTATTTTCTTTCTTTGATTTGCCAGTTTAGATGCAAAGTCTACAAGTATTCAAGTGGTTGTTAAAGAGGGAGGTCTAAAGTTGATTCAGATCCAAGACAATGGCACTGGGATTAGGGTGAGTAAAACCTCAAGGGAGCAGGATATTCCTGTGTTTGGTGTGATAATTCTGTGGGAAAAGCCAAAACCTTTCCTTTTTCTGAAATTTTAAGCCTTTGTAGATGGGATTTTTGAGTGAAAAATTCAACTGCAACAGTTACGTATTGAGTACCTGTAGGCAGTGTTGAGGAGATATGGTAGTGATACAATACACAAAATTACTTTTTCTTCTGGTGCTTCCATTATAGTAGTGGGGAACAAACAATAGACAGGTACAATAAATTCTGTAATATGCCAGGTGATGTGAGAAACTAAAGCAGGGAGGAAGGTAGGAGTGAGGAGTGACACAATTTAAGTTGAATGGTTCAGGACGGCTTTAATATGGATGATATTTAAGGAGAGACCTGATAAAGATCAAGGAGCAAGTCCTGAGACTGTCCAAAGAATGAGTGTTGTGGGCAGAGAGCCTAAAGAGAAGGACCATGAAATGGAAACATGCCTAACATGTTTAATGACCAGCAAGGAGGCCAGCGTATCTTGAATAGAATGAACAAAGGAAGAGTTAGAGGAGATGAAATCTGAGGGAGAACATGCAGGACTTTCAGGGCCGTGGTAAAGTCCGGTTTTTATAGTAACTCCGATAGGACACAACTAGAGGGTTTGTTTTTTGTTTTTTGTTTTTTGTTTTTGACCAGGAATTGAGCTCAGGACCTTGCACTTGCCAGGCAGGCACTGTGCCACTGCGCTATATCCCCAGCCCACAACTAGAGGGTTGTAAGCAAAGTGGTACATGATTTGGTGAGTTTATAAAAAGTCCTTTTTCTGCTTTGCTGAAAATAGACTGCAGCAGGACAGAGTGGAAGCAGTGAGGAGGCTCTTGCAACAATCCAGGAGAGGGCAACAGTGCCTTGGACTAGTTGGGTCACAGTAAAGATGTAAGAAACAGTGAGATTCTGAGTTAATTATGAAGGCAGAAGCTTTCAGAACTGCTGGTATAGAGTGTGACAGGAGGAGTCAGGAGTGATTTCCAGGTTTTGGCCTATGTAAATGGAAAAAAAGGTTGCCTTCCTGGGGATGGGAGAGATTATGGAAGAAACAGGTTTGGGGGAAGATAGGAAGTTCATATGGGGACATGTTAAATTTAAGGTAGCTGTTTAAGATGTGAAGTGACATAAGTAAAAAAAAAGGACAAATACAGGATTCCTGTTATATAATGTAGAAAGTAGAATGATGGTTGCTGGGGACTGGGGACTGGGGACTGGGGAGAGATGAAGAGTTATTACTTAACGGGTGTAGAGATTCACTTTGGGGAAGATAAAGATGTTCTGGAGGTGAATGGTAATGATGGTTGCACAACGGTAGTAATGTAATTAATGCCACTGAACTGTAACACTTAAAAATGGTTCAGTGAACATTTTATATGTATTTTACTACAATTTAAAAAGTTACCTAGCTGGACATGGTGATATACACTTACAATTCCAGCTACTCAGGAGACTGATGCAGGAGGATTACAAGTTCAGGGTAGCCTGGGCAACACAGTTAAGACCTTGTTTCAAAAATGAACTATAAAAGATGGGATATAACTCACTGATAGAGCATTTCCTTATCCTGTATGAGGCCCTAGGTTGAATCTTCAGTACCATAAAAAATAAAAATGAAAAGTAATCTGTAGATTTGAAGTAATATTTTCTCATTTTTACAAAAGGTTGTAAGACTGAAATTATCGAGACAATGAGTATAGACAGAGCAGAGGTCTAAGGATAGGGAATCTGGGTGATTCTAGCATTGGGAAATGTGGACATGAGGTGGAAGCAACAGATGACGCTGAAAAGGAGCAACCTAATAACAGAAGAGGATGTCAGGACCATGTGGTATTCTGGATACCAAGTAAGGAAGTCACTGCTAATTTAAAAACTCTTCTGCTAAGAGGAATGCCTTCCTGGATTAAATCAAGGAAGTGGAAATTCAGAAAGATTTGGAAAAGTGAGTAACATAATTATGTACTCATTTTCTGTATCTACTAGAAAGAAGATCTGGATATTGTATGTGAGAGGTTCACAACAAGTAAACTGCAGTCCTTTGAGGATTTAGCCAGTATTTCTACTTACGGCTTTCGGGGTGAGGTAAGGTAGTGTTTAAAGAAATATAAACTATCTTGCTGATGACATTGTTTCATTTGTCAGCATGTTTTTCAACAGAGGTAAATAAGATTTCCTATTTTTGCCGGGTGTGGTATTGCAGCACTTGGGAGGCTGAGGCGGGAGGATCACAGTAAGTTCGGGACAGTCTGAGCTCCTCTGTTCGGGACAGTCAGAGACCAGCATGAACCCACACAGTGAGACCCTGTCTCAAAAAAACAAAAACAAACGAGCAAACCAAGATTTGCTATGTTTTTACTTATTAAATACAGTGGTACCTCAGTTCACAAACTTAATTTGTTCTACGATTTTGGAAAAGATGACTACATTTGTGCTTATGTAGGGAAGATGGCCATGGTTGTGTTTGTCACCCAATGCAGATAGACACGGTTGTGTTTGTCACCCAATGCACAAAAACAAAATTTTGCCAAACACTTCTGTTTTTGAACCAAATTGTTTGCAAACAAAAGTATTCATGAACTGTAGATTTGCATATACAACACTACCTTGGTTCATGAATTTTAATTCTTTCCATGATTCTGGTTGCAATGGTGGAATTAATCTTGCAACCAAAATCATGGAAAGAATTAAGTTCATGAACTGAGATACCACTGTATATGCAAGTCTTAATTTAATTTAGCTTTCCAAGGCTGTGAATTACTCATCAGTACGTAATATCCAATAAACTGTTTTAAACCCTAGATGTTATATATTGTGTGTACTCAGCACAATGTACGTAGCTTTTTTGGCAAAAAAAAATGTGAATCATTTAGTCAGTGTGTAGATCTAGTTACCAACATATGGAATACAGAGAGGATAAGCAAGGATGGTAAGTGATGCTAACAAAACTACATGACGAAAGACTGACAAAAACTACAGGGGGAAAAAAGGATACAGATGGAAACAAAAACCTGAAGATTAAAGGATGTTTAAGAGATCTATGAAGATGAATGTGGTAGTACACGCCTGTAATCCCAGCACTCTGGAAGGCTGAGGCAAGAGGGTTGCAAATTGAAATCCAGCCTGGGAAACTTAGCAATTTGAAAAGACCCTGCCACAGAATTTTAAAAATTTAAAAGGGGTTAGGGTTTAAACCCCAGGACCACAAGAAAAAAGTAGCCAGTGAACAAACTTCATTTACTGGAGCTTACCTAGATCCTAATTTGAGTGAATTATTAAAAAAAAAAAAAATTGAGATAAAGATACTGAACACAAATTGGTTATTTGATGGTATTGAGTAGAAATTATTAATTTTCTTGATAAAAAATATTGTAGTGTGGTACATGCCTGTATTCCCAGCAACAGGGAAGGCTGAAGCAGGAAGATCACCAACCTTGGCAATTTAGCATTGAGGATTCAATCCTCAATACTGTGCAAAAAAATACTGTGGAATTTTTAAAAATTTCTTTTAAGATACTGTACTGAACTACTGTGTATAAAATTATTATAGGAATATATGATATAGAAAATAGAAAAAAATTTAAGACTGAAATGAGATCCTATATTTTTATGACTTAATTCCTTATGAATACCTTTCCATTCAATAAATGTAGCCCTATATAGTTCTTGATGAGTACATACTATTCTATTAAGAATATGTACTATATGGAGTTTTGTCAAGTGGTTTCCTTTTGAACATTTAGGCTACGCTTTTTTCCTGTTTAAGGCTCTGATCAGTATTTTTATATGTACATTGTTTTGTTATTTCCTTAGGATAAATTTATTGAAGTAAAAATATACGTTTCTAAAATGTTAGTAGTAGTTTTTTACTGCTGGTGACCCACCAATTACCATAAAATTGATGGTTTAAAACAATACATATTTATTGTTTACAGTTCTTAAGATCAGAAGATATGGGTCTCATTAGGCTGAAATCAGGGTTTTGGCAGGGGTCTGTTCCTTTCTGGATGCCCTAGGACATGAGAGAAACTATTTAGTTATTTTGAGGAAGTGAGAGTAAAGGTGGGGGACAAGAAAGAAGTCTGTTACTTTTCATTTTAGGCCTCTCTTCTGTTTTTAAATTTATGTATTACTTTTTTTTTTTTTTTTTTTTTTTTTTGTTTTTCTCCGGTACCGGGAACCGAACTCACGACCTTGCGCATGCCAGGCAGGCGCTTTTGCCGCTGAGCTAAATCCCCAGCCCCTATGTATTACTTTTAATTTTTAAAAATTAAAAAGCAGCTGTAACCCAGTATCTGTAATTTGAGACAATTTAGATCAAACCAAGATGGTCTCAAAGACTCTGTTACAGTGACCCCCAAATTGTCCCTAATAGAGATACTTTTTCCCTGAGGCTGCCTCAGGTCAAGCTGTAGCAGTACAGTTTCATCCTGACTTTGCAAGCCTGTGGGTCATTTTCCAAGCCCCTGGCCTCCTAGAGCCTTAGCCTAACTATGGACAATCTTTAGCGTTATTATCTCACTGTGATTAGACCAGGAAGATTTATTTAGAGATTTCTTTGTGCCAGCAAAGGTTCTAATGCTATGCATGTATCTATTACCTGTTACTCCCAGCCATACCCCAACAGAGTAGATTCTACCGTGCCTTGTTTCACATGAGGAAACTGACACATAGTGATTAAGAACGTGGCCAGGTACACACCTCGAAAGTAGCAGAGAGGGGTTAACCTAGGTATGTTGACTCCAGTCTGTGCTCCTCCCCATTTGTCCCACTGGAAAGGCCCTGTTGAAGTAGCAGGGCCATTTGCTGTGCCATGGACAGTGGCACTCTCTCTGTGATGTTAGGTACTATTGTATTACTGTGCATATTTAATGTCTGTTCTTACACGGGTCTCAGAATAATTTGTGTTTTTTGATGATGGAAATTACATAAAATTACAGGGAAATCTAGCTAAGACCAAGTAATTTTTGAGCCGAGAAATGTTTTTTGTTTTTACTTGGTTTTTGTTTTTGAAACAGAGTCTCACTCTTTTGCTGAGGCTGGTCTGTCTAACTCCTGTGCTTGATCAAGCAGTCTTCCTCCTCAGCTTAATAGAACCAGTTCTCTTTTAATGAATGGAACCTGCCTCAGCTGTATATAGATGCTGTCACAGAGACTGAATTGTAACACAGCGCCTGGGTTGCATGTTTACATACTGATGATGGTGTCCTTTTTGTAAAAAGAGATACAGATCCCAAGGGACCAAGAAATCAGTCTTATTTATAAGGGGGGGCATAGGTTTTTAAAATTTGTTCTGATTTAATTGAATAATTTTAATTTTATATTGCTGCACTTACGATTACTTATACAAAACAGTTTTGAGTAAGTCTCTACTATCATGTATTTGAATTAACTCCATTATCTATTTCTGAAAGTATATTTTTAAATTATTGAAAGATACATCATTCAGAATAAGCATGCCTGCTATCACTTTTATCTGGAATGTCCCTAATACGCCTGTGTATTAATGCCTTAGTCTCCCAACTTGATGCTACTGAGAGGAGGTGGAAATTTTAAGTAGTGGGGATGAGTGCATGGTCTTTGGGTCACTGGAGAATGTGCCCTTTAAGGGGCTATGGCATCCCTTTCTCTTTTCTTTCTTTTGGTATCCTATGAGGTAAGTGGTTTTATTCTCCCATGTGTTCTTCACCATGATGTGCTTCCTCCAAATAAGCCAAGAAGCAGTGGGACCAACTGATCATGGACTGAACTCTGAAACTGGGAGCCAAAATGAAGCTCTCCCTTTATACGATGATTGTCTCAGGTATTTGCAGCAGTAATGGAAAGCTAAGAATGTTATAGTTCTATCACCTGAATTCAATTACTGTTTGTACATTAATGCTTTAGTATGTTTCCTTTTTGACATTTTAATATAAATTTTCTCTTGCTGTAGTGATTATGCTACAGATTCAATTTTATATCCTTTTTTAAACATGCCAAGAAAGTGTTCATTGTTGCTGCATCTCAACACAAAACAGAAGAGGCACTTTAGACGCTTTTCCCTCAGCAGTTTGTTTTTTTTTCATTGCATTTCATTTTCTTCCATAGGCTTTGGCCAGCATAAGTCATGTGGCTCATGTTACTATTACAACCAAAACAGCTGATGGAAAGTGTGCCTACAGGTATAGTACTGTCGTTTACTCCTGTGGGTTCATCCTGAAATGTACTTATTGCCTAGATCTCTGAGAATCTTACTTAACAACTAGTATTTTTGTTTTTATTTATTTATTTATTTTTTAAGACTAGGAAAGGTTTACTGGGGAAGAAAAATAGCTTCAGAGAGACAGGAAGGGTACTGAGTAGGCTGTCCCAAGCCTGTTCTTTTGTTTGTTGGTACATTTAGATACACATAATGATAACACTCATCATAGGGAATTTGTACCTGTATATGATATGTCTTGCTTCTTTTTTTCCCATTCCCCTTCAACCCTTCTTCCCTTCCTTACTTAAAAAAGCCTTGTTTCCATTTTTATTTTCTTTTCCCTTCCTTCCTTTCTCTCCTCTTTTTTATTCCCCTCCCCATTTGAACATTTTTTTCCAATTTCCCAATATTTTGGTCCTTATTTACAATTTGATTTGTCATGACAGATAAACAGTGCAGTATTTAAACATATACGTCCAGTTTATTTCAGTTAAGAGTGTGGTTTCAAGGTGCATCTGTTTAGCGAGAAAAGTCTCAAGCTTATCCTTCCTTATGGCAGAGTAGTACTCCATTGTATAAAAAAAAAATCTTTATCCATTCATTAGTAGGTCGGCATTTGGGCTGTTCCCAAGATTTAGTTATCACAAACTGTGCCATTATAAACATGGGTGTACATATATTGCTGTGGTATGATACTTTTAATTCTTTCAGGAAGATACCAAAAAAGAGAATAGCTGGGTTAAATGGACCCTCTAGTTTTAGTTTTTGAGAAATCTCCACACTGATTTGTACAGTGGTTGCACAAGTCTACATTGCCACCAACAGCAGAGAAGGGTTCCTTTTTCCTCCTAGCCTCAACAGCATTTGTTATTGGTCGATTTCTTGATAATAGCCATTCTTTCTGGGGTGAATCTCAGTGTTGTTTTAATTTGCATCTCTCAAATAACCAGAGATATTGAACATGTTTTCATATACTTATTTGCTTTTTCTAATTCTTCATTTGAAAAGTGTCTAGATGCCGATTTTTGCCTTTAAGCTTGGGGGGGGGGGCTGAATTTTTTCTTTTTTTTTTTTTTTGAGTTCTTTCTATATTCTAGATATTAGTCCTTTGTTTGAGGAACAGCCGGCAAAATTTTTTTCCCACTCAGTGGGTTGCCTGTTCACTCTGTTGATGATTTCTTTTGCTGTGCAAAACTTTTTTAATAAGATGAGATCCCAGCTGTTGATTCTTTATTTCCTGTGCAATTGGGATTTTGTTCATAAAGTCTTTGCCTACACCAGTGTCTTTAGGAGTTCAACCCATTTTGTCTTCCAGCAGATTTAGTGTTTCTGTTTTAATATTTAGATCTTTGAACCTTTTGATGTTACTTTAGTGTGTGGTGAGAGATACAAGTCTAGTTTTAATCTTTGGTATGTGGAAATCCAGTTTTTTCAGCACCATTTATTAAAGAAGGTATTTTTTCTTCCAGTGAAGGTATTTGGCTCCTTTGTCAAAGATAAGGTGTTTAAGTGTGTTTGGAGTTCTTTCTGCATCTTCTGACCTGTTCCATTGATAGTGAGTTCTGTTTTTTTTTGCCAGTACCATGCTGTTTTTATCACAGGAGTTTTGTAGTATAATTGCAAGTCAGGGATTGTGATGCCCCCTGCCTTGGCTTTGTTTCCCAGAATTATTTTTGCTATTCTTGATCTCTTCTGGTTCCAAATGAATGTTAGGTTGTTTTTTCTAATTCTGTGACATATGCTATTGGTATTTTCATCCAGATTGCAATATATCTATGTAACAATTTTGGAAGTATGGCCATTTTCATTATATTGGTTCTCCTTACCTAAAACAAGGGGGTATCTTTTCATTTTCTGATATCTTCTTCCATCTCCTTTTTCAGACTACTGCAGTTTTTAATGTAAAGATTTCTACTTCCTTTGTTAGATTGATTCCTAAGTATTTCACTTTTTTGGATGCTATTGGAATTTCTTAGTTTATGTGTCCACAGAAATGCTATTGATTTTTGAGTGTTGACTTTGTATACAGCTATCCTACTGAATTTGGTTATTAAATCTTATTAGATCTTTTGATGGCTTTCAGTGAAGCTTATGGAGTCTTCTATGTAGTATGTCACGCCATCTGCAAATACTGGTAATTTAACTTCTTCCTTTCCTATCTGTATTCCTTTTATTTCTTTCTCTTGTCTAATTGCTCTGGCTAATGTTTCCAAAACTCTGTTGAATAAGAGTGGTGATGGTGGACATCCTTGTCTTGTTCCTGATTTTAGAGTGAAAGTTTTCAGTTTTTGTCCATTGTATGATGTTGGCTATTGGTTTATCATAGATGGCTTTTATCAGATTGAGATAAAGACAATCAATTGCAGTTTTCTATAGGGTTTTTACCATGAGTGGGTGTTGGATTTTGTCAGGTGCCTTTTCTGCAAGATGATCATATGGTTTTTGTCCTTGGTTCTGTTAATATGGTGTATTATATTTATTGATTTGTGTATGTTGAACCATCCTAAATCCCCAGGATGAATCTAAATCTCCTTGCTCATGGTGTATAAACTCCAAATAATTTCCTGCATTCTCTTTGCCAGTATCTTATTGAGGATTTTGCATCTGTGTTCATTAGAGAGATTGGTCTGTAATTCTCTTTTTTGATTGGATCCTTGTCTGATTTTGCTATCTGGGTAGTGCTTGCTTCCAGGAATATGCGAGTGTTGCTTCCCTTTAATTTCATTAAAGAGTTTGAGAAGTAGTGGCTTTAGGTCTTCTCTAAATTTCTTGTAGAATCCAGCAGTGAATTCATCAGGAACTGGGCTTTTCTTTATTGGTAGGTTTTTAATTACACTATCAGTTTCATTGACTGTTATTCATTTGTTGATTTAGAATTTTTATATCTTCTTGATTCAGCTTTGGAAATTCATATAAATGTAGGAATCTGTCCATTTCTTCTGTTTTTTCCACTTTATTAGAATACAGGCTCTCAAAGTAGGTATAGATGATCTTCTGGATTTCTGCAGGATCTGTTGTAATGTTACCCTTTTCATTCCTAATACCATGGATTTGTGTCTTTTCTTCCCCCTTTTTGATAAGGTTGACTAAGAGTTTGTTAATATTACTTAATCTTTCAAAAAACAAAGTCTTCAATTCACTGATTCTTTGTATTGTTTTCTTTGTCTTAGTGCATTAATTTTTGCTCTTATCTTTATAATTTACACCCTCTTATGAGCTTTGGGCTTTACTTGCTGTTGTTTTTATAGAAGTTTGAGGTTCAACATTAGGTTGTTTATTTGAGCCACTGTGTTTTTCTTATATGACAATTCACCACTATAAATTTCCCTTGTAGGACAGCTTTCATTGCATCCCATATATTCCGTTATGTTGTAGTGGCATTATTATTTAATTGTAGAAACTGTCTAATTTCTTTAATTTCATTTGTGACCTATTGGTTGTTCAGGAGGGTGTTATTTAATTTCCATGCACTTAGGAAGTTTTTCTGGATTTTTTTTGCCATTGATTTCCAATTTCATTTCATTATGGTCTGATAGTATGCATGGGATAATTTCAGATCCTTTATTTACATTTACTTAAGCATGTTCTATGAGCTACGATGTGGTCTGTTTTGGAGAAAGTTCTGTATGCAGCTGAGAAAGATGTATATTTTGATGTGGTGTGAAACACTATAGATATCAACTAAGTCCATTTGTTAAAAAGTTCTGTTCAGTTCTTATATTTTATTGTTGATTTTTTTGTCTAGTTGGTCCATTTGTGACAGTGGGATATTGCAGTCCCCCATTACAATTGTATTAGTGATTGTTTGATTTTTTTCATGTCCATTAATACTTGTTTTATGTAGTTGGGTACACTTGTATTTGGTGGATATATATTTGTGGTTGTTATCTCTTTCCCGTGGATTGTTCCCTGTACAAGAATTGTACCTTCTTTGTCTCTATTAATCAGTCTTGACTTGAAATCCACTTAGTCTGCAAATGAAATAGCTATCCCTGCTTTCTTCTGGGTTCCTATCACATGGAGTATTGTTTCCATCCTTTGACTTTCAGTCTGTCAGTTTCTTTTTAAATTAAGTGTGTTTCTTGGATGCAGCATATTGGTAGATCTTGCTTCTTGATCCAGTCTGCCAGTCTGTCTCTTTTTTTTTTTTTTTTTTTTTTTTGTCTCTTTGAGACAGGGTCTTGCTATGCAGTTCAGGCTGGCCTTGAGCTCACTTTGTAGCCCAGGCTGGTCTCAAACTCGTAACAATCCTTCTGCCTAGCCTCCCAAGTGCTGGGATTACAGGCCTGCACCACCATGCCTGGCTCATTCTGTTTGTTTTGATTGGTGAATTGAGACCACTTATATTGATGGTTATAAATTATATGTATTGACTTAACCTTGTCATCTTATTTTCCTATTGTTGATCATCCCCTCTCCTGTTTAATTACCTGTCTTACCTGGTTGATTCATTTGGTTTGGGTTCATGGAGTTGTAATCCTCATTACGGGAGGGAAAGAAATAAAAACAAGAAAAAAACAACAATGAAACAACTAGAAACAGTGTTCACACTCCTGAAATAGGAATAAACAATCAAAAAATTGAAAAAAAATGTCTACTTCAGAGAATGTCTCTGCTGTCATTGCTAGACAGAGTGGGCAAACAGAGCACAGATCTGAGTTAATTAATCCCAGCAAGCCAGCTGTAGATTAATGGAGAGGTAGTGGATAATCCCAGCAAGCTTACATGTTTAGTTCCACTGAAGTTCAAAGTGGTTTCTGGCTGTGAGGATAGACCCAGTTTGTTCAACCTGTAGCATTCCATGTGCTGCCTGCCAGCTTGAACTTGGTTATGCCCCACCCTGGCACTGGGAGGTGCTAGATGGAGCCATTCCACAGCTGCTGTGAGTTCTTTCCTCAGTTGGCTCCTCTCCAAGGTGGCAATCAGCCCATGACCCTTTCCTGGGGGATGTCTGAACCTGAATAACCAGCCTGTACAGCCTGCTGAATCCACTGCTCTGTTCCACTGATGTATTACTCTCTGGAGGCCTCCGGGGCTGCTGTGCTTCTACAGGTAGTCACCGTGCTCCTATAGGTTCAAATCACGCCCCCTAGGCAGTGAGCCAGGGCTCAGGGAGAAAGCGCAGCTCGCCACCAGCACCTTCTGTGTTGAGGTGTCTTTCTTCACTACCCCTATGGGCTTCAATTCTCACTTCAGATCCTAGCTGGGTCCTAGGGACTCATTTCCCTCCTTCTTCTCTTCCTCAGGTTGCTATGTTCTAACATCTGGATACCAAATCTCAGAGAGGCTGTTTGTCTACTTTTACCGCTGTGCCATCTTCCTGAAATCCTAATGTTACTTTCTTTTGTCTGAGACCTTAGATAATTTTTTTCCTCCCTATGGACAAACTGACAATCACAGGAATAATTATTAGGTGATATTCTTATTTCAAGGATACTTAAAAGATACAACATTACAAGTGCTCAGCAAGGTGTCTATTATACATAGGTATTCTAAGTAAATGGTAGCTGATGGTATTATTTCTGCCCCTCTACCCATCAGGAGTGTATCACGTTGGGCTGATTATTGGGCTGTGGCTAGAATTCTGAAGACTCATAGTTGCTTTATTGGCTCCTCAGCTACCAGCTCCCACATGCATATCTGGGCTGGCTTACCTTCCATGAATGGCTGCTGGCTGGCTCTGGTACTGACACTATTTTCAGAGGCTGATGAATGGCCTTGGAACAGAACAGAAATAGGATTCAAGGAATCAGAATTACACCTCTGTTCCTATAAGTAGTGGCTATTTACTAGCTGAAGACAGGTAGGAACACTATTTCCTCTCCCTCCACCCTGCCCCCAGCATACATTTTTAAACATACAGGTTTTTTGTAAATCAACTACTTATGTCTATTTCCTAGTTTTCATCAGCAAATGTTTAAAGTAATGAAAACGGGGCATTTTAGAGATGTAGCACTAGTGCTAGGGGAGCCTTGGGATGTGGGTAGACTGGCTTGACTACAGTTATCTCATCAGGGAGACAGTTGTGAATTAATGTCTTCCGGGGTCTCTTTCAAGGGCCACGTTATGCCCCATCTGGGATCCCTCATGGCTCTTCTTCTGTGACAGGATGAAAGTCAGAGTCTTCATGTTGGGAACCAGTGCCCTCCTTCCACCCTCCAGCCTCTTCTCTCCACACATTCCCAGCTGCCATATGTTTGAAAGCTTTTGTGGTTATGTGATTATGTGGTGATGTTTTTCCTTTCTTAGATGATCTTTCCTGCTGTCTCTAGCTGCAACGATAGCTCCTTAAAGCCCAAACGAATTATTCTGTCTTCTCCAATATTTTTGCCTACCTTCACTCCCATCCTAGGCCAAATGATTCATTCTCTAGATCACTTAGTACATTATTCCACTATTGTGGTAAAAGTCTATCCCCTTGTGAGTCTAAGACCTTTTTTTACTACCAGGGCCTTCAAGGGCCTTGCACCTGGTAGCTTCTTAATAAATGACTGCATAATTATATTTTCCTGCTATCTTACACAGTTGCACTTCTATTGTATAGTAGCTCAGAACTCAGAAACTAAAAAACAAGATTTGCTAGAACAAGATTTTTTAAAAAATTCAATTAAAATGATTATGTAAAATGGTAATTAAGATAATATATAGTATATAAGGCAATATATAGTATGGCTATGTTTAATCTATTATAATATTCTTTGTTTATCCTTTGAATAAATGTCTCTTTCTATTAGATATTAATAATCTCATGTATTTTCTGACTAGAGCAAGTTACTCAGATGGAAAGTTGAAGGCACCTCCTAAACCTTGTGCAGGCAATCAGGGGACCCAAATCACGGTAAGAATAGTATATAGGGATGAAATTGATGGAAAAGAACTTTGTATAGATATTGAAATAAAAAATAAAATTGGCTTTAGCTTTCAAGGTAATGATGAAATGAATTCTTATTAGTTAATAGAAGCCCAAGGATATCATCCTATAAGTGAAAAAAAGAACTCATTAGGTTTTATAGCATGACAGCCTGTCCCTTATCTTTTGTAAGAGCCTGGGAGATTATTTATTGGGATGGCAGAAATCAGTGCCAGAGTACAAATCTAGGTTGACTCCAGAAGACGTGAGTTGAAGTCTGAGCCTGGTCAGTCAATGGTTGTGTGTCTGGGGCAAGTCACTTAATATCTCTGACCCTACATTTTCTCATCTGTCAAATCGAACAAAGAATACCTGCCTTAAAGTGTATTTTGTGTATTATTTGTCAGTTTCATTAGTTGGAATTAAGTCCAATATGCTGCCTTCTTTCTGTTTTGTTTTTTTTTTGTCTTTTTGAGACAGGGTCTCGCTATGTAGTTCAGGCTAGCCTTGAACTCACTTTGTAGCGCAGGTTGGTCTCTAACTCACAACAGTCCGCCTGCCTCAGCCTCCTGAGTGCTGGGATTACAGGCATGCGCCACCACACCCGGAACTGCCTTCTTTCTATAGTATTTCAGTCCCCGTCTATTCTGTGATACCGTGTACCCCACTGTCATGTCATGCCTCCTGTCCCTCCACCCTTAATCTAAGCTAGAGCACATCTTGAAAGCCAGTCTAACTTTTCTAATTCCTGCATATGATACAGCATTCAGGAGGCAGAAATGAATGTGTGCTTTGCAATGCATGTTAAGAGGGAGCCTTACCAGGATGACAGCAAGGAACCCCAAATGATCTCAGAAATGTTACGATTTTTCTTAGTTTGAAAAATATGTTTGAATGCCACGTGATATCATAACTGTTTATAAATTCATAGGCATGTCTCACTAAATTATGTGCAGTTCTAAGCACTGACTAGGGAAAAGGGAGAGGGATAGGGCAACACTGCAAAAGGAATTAAAGGAATTAAAGTCTTCTGAACAAGACTCTGCTTTAAAGTTTGTCTTCACAGCAGCATGGTGTCCCTCCCCCTCTCCCACACTTCAGATATTACTCTTGCCTTTTTAAAAAGGCAAGGGTCTCCCTAGAGTGGCTAAGATCTGGAAGGGTGGGATTTGGGCCTCTTATTTGCTTGTGCAGCACTCATAGCAAGCTCTGAACCCTGTCCCTCACTGACACAGGCCTGAAAACTGCTATATAAGCAGCACTCCGAAGCCACTACTGGGTTTTAGTCTAGAAGGGCTTCCTCCTGTGGAGTGACACACCTGTGCTGCAGCACAGGCCCTGTTAAAATAAAGACTTGCTTTGGTATTCCTATAAAAAAAAATTATAAAATTTGTCTTCATATTTTCAGCACAAAGCAAAGAGCCTGACATAGAGATAACCCCCGGTACCTGTTTGAGAAGTTAATCAATCAGTGTGGGAGGCAGGGAAAAATACCCTTTAATTCCTTTTGCAGTGTTGCCCCATCCCTTTCCCTTTTCCCTAGTCAGTGCTTAGAATTGTACTGTTGGCAAAATATCCTCAAATTAGCTACCTTATGTCCCAGCTTTTGGTGGACAACTTGAGCCTTTCTTTCCATGTAGTTTTGTGAATTTACAAGAAAATTAATCTTCTGTTCAGGTGGAGGACCTTTTTTATAACATAACAACAAGAAGAAAAGCTTTAAAAAATCCAAGTGAAGAGTATGGGAAAATTTTGGAAGTTGTTGGCAGGTACAGTTCAAAATCTGGGAATGGGTTTACACGATTTGTCATCAAAAGAATGTGTTCTGGTGCTTGTAAATTAAGAACAGTTGCTGAGCTAAATGGCAGACAGCAGAACTAGCCTATGTATTATTCTGGTCGGAGTTGAGTCATCACTTCTAAGCTTTTTCTCATCTCCCCAGGAAACAGCAGGTATTCTCTGTGTCAGTGAGGGTTCTTAGGTGCAACCAAAACGAAATGACTGTAGTTGAAAAGAAATGTATTACAAGGCCAGAGTTCCAAGTAGAAAGAGGTGTGGACTGCTGCTCCTTGGAGAGGTTAACAACCAGGGTAGTTTCAGGGATTTAACATTATAACCCAGCTTTGGCTATTTTCATTCTTTTCCTGACCTTGCTTTTGAATGTTCCCTGGAGTGTGTCTAATTGGCATAGTTTAGGTCATATGGTCCCATGCCCTTGCCTATGAAGTGAAGTCTTCTTGATTTGCAATTTTTATCTAGCATGCATCAGGTGGAATAGGACAGAGGTGGTTTCCCAAGGGAAGCTTACAGACTGTTAGTAGAAGAAAGAGAGGGGATTCAAGGCAGGTGAAAGCAACATTATGCCCATGGTAGCCTTAACTTGCTACTGCACTTGACTCTAGCATGGGCTCTCTGAGCCCATCTGTCTTTGAGATATAATAGAGATATATTAACTGTATTTCAGTATTGCTTTAAAAATCTGAAATGAATCAAACATTTGCCCATAATAAAATGACACAGACTTACACATCAAGTTTGTTTTTCCCTGGAAATACATAAACCAGTGTCAAATCGAGATGTGATTACAAAATATAGTGGATATTTAAATTTTTAAAAATGTATTACAATGAAAGACATGTTGCCTTTCGTCCATGTCAATTGTCTTCTACTGTAATTTTTAAAAAAATTTAAACATTTACCATATATTTTGATTACCCCTTGTAGAGGAGTCTTGGTGGACTGTTTTGGTTCTAGGTATGGTAAAAGAAAATGTTGTTACTTCATAAATGCATTTGCTGGACATAACCTTTCCATTACTGGGGACCATAGGAGGAATAGTAATGGGTAACAACCAGCCAAGAAAAGGCTGTAAGATACTGGCACAAGACTTAAAAACAAGGAAGATCTGGTGTTGAGGTCTCTGAAAGAGAATTAAAAAGTGTGGGTTTGTTACAGCAAGCTTTTCAAGATGTCCTAGTGGCAACCCATCCCTTTTGGGACACTGTGAAAATAAAACTTGAGGAGAAGAGGTTGTGTGGAGATATTTTGAGTCTGCTCAGTAACCTGTTAAAAACAGGAGCAGAGAAGAATGTTTGATTCTGTCACATTTAGCATTGCTATCTCTGTGAAGTCTCTGCTAGTTTATTTTTCTGAGGGTAAGATAGGGTGTACTAAGATATTTTTGTTTATATATAGCTCTGTTTAAATTGCTTAGCTCTGCCAAGTTATTTAACTAGGGATCTCTGACATCTGTTGTCCTTTTGGTAGTCTTTGCTTATGTTTCATTTTGTTTTGCTTTCTAGGTATTCAGTACACAACTCAGGCATTAGTTTCTCGGTTAAGAAAGTAAGTTCTTTGTTTTTAAGGGATGGTTTTGTATTAGGAAAAGAAACAAGGAGATTTTTAATAATTTGAGACAGAGTATACAAAGTATACCAAGTCATTGAGTATATAACGTCATTGTATCTTCTTTTATCAGCAAGGTGAGACAGTTGCTGACATCAGAACACTATCCAGTGCCACGGTTGTGGACAATATTCGCTCCATCTTTGGAAATGCTGTTAGTCGGTATGTTGATAACCTACATATAAAAAACACTTTGCATTCATTATCTTGATTTCATATCTAACTGCTTTATTTTGGAATCTGTCAGGGTAGCACCTGCTTTAAGAGTTTGCTTTAATCAAATATGCAGACTTGTTTTCATGCTTCAGTTTTTTAATGGAGACATTATTCATGTAATCAACACTTCCTGGCTACATGTTGTCTGTGAGATGCTATGGTTGTAAATACGCATGTTCTCTCTAGGTGTTTGTCTTCAAAATATTTATAATGTAAAATTCTGTCCTCTTCCAAAACTACTTTTCCTCTCATTTCCACTGTCAGCACTTTAGGATTTCATTTACCATTTAACTTTACTAATTGCCTCTCATATTCCAGGTGCTGTGCTAGAATTCAGGGATACAAAGACAAATTATTTTTGGCCCTCAAAGACTAGATTTGCAAATGTCACGAAGTCTTCGTTATCAGGGAAAGCCTAGTAGAGAAACTTATTAGTACATAGATTCCTCTTGGTGCTCCCATCTGCATGTAAACGCTATCATTTCCATCAGAGATTACCAGCTGCACATCAGGACTTTACAAAGCCCAAAGGGACTGTGTCATAATCTGAAGGGAAGAATACTGAGACTCTTCCCCATATGCCAGGCATGCATGAGGTGCTGTGGGTACACAGATGAACAGAGAATGAGGTGGCCCCTGACTTCACTTTTCACTGAAGCCTTGAGAAGCAGCTGTCGTAACAGTACCATATTTTCACTCTGAAGAACAAATTAGTCGTTACTGAGCCAAACTAAGTTCCCAACTAGGGAACAACCAATTTCCTTTTAATTACTCTCTCTCAGTAAGTGTAAATAAACGATTTTTTTTAAACCTGTGTCTCCAGAGTGAAGGGAGAACTGTATTCTACAGTGTAACATTTAAAAACGTGACTAAATTTTTAAGACTCAAAACTAGGAAAATTCTGTTAGAGAATTTTTTTTTAGACTGTTAGAGATTAGGAATCCCCAGAAGCAGCATTTTCCAAAGCAGGTTTCCAGAATACTGACCTCTTGAGCCATTTTAAGGGTTTACTGGTTTGCTGTGTGTGTGAAACACGGCAAGCTGTACTTTCTACCCAGACACTCAGAGATCACATTAGTACAATTAAAGCTCCCACCATGGGTCCAGCAAGCCTTTAGTGAGTGCAGCTGTTCATTAGCCTCTGTGTATAGGTAATGTAGTAAGTAAAACAGAAGTTATTCTTGTCCTCAGAGGATTCTCTAGTTGAAAAGACACATGAGGTGACTTGCCATCCATTAGCAGATTGTGCTTACTGCCTCAAAGGAAGACTACTGGGCGTGATGGGAGAATCACCAAAGCAGTGGTGGCAAATCTATGGTATGTATGCCCCAGCAGGCTGTTTGTGTCATTGCGAGTTTAAAAGGTTTGCCATCACTGCTCTAGAGTGAGAGAGAGGGCTAGCCAGAGAAGGCTGTCTGAAGAAAGAATTCTTTTTTTGACCTTTTTTTTTTAGGTACCGGGAGTCGAACTCATGACCTCAGGCTTGCCAGGCAAGCGCTTATGCCGTTGAGCTATATCCCCAGCCCTAAGAAATAATTCTTGAGATACAGAGGATAAATAGGAACTAACTAGCTGTCAGTAAGTTAGAAGTAGAGCTCTCCAGGCAGAAGGACCAGCCCTAGAAATAAGTGTGGTTTGTCTGACCTTTTTTCAGCTTAACTTCCTCTCCCCAGTAAACATTCTGGGCAACTCCCTTTTGGTGCTATTCATTATAGTAAGGAATTCAGCAGAGGTAAGTTTTTCTTGAAATAACATTTGGGATTTAGTTACTAAGGTGCGTAAAACTTGCAGCAAAATAAGGTCCTAAAGCTTGGATTTATCATATTCCAGCAGTGATAGTAGGGCCTGGTACAGAGCATAAGTAGTTGAAAGGACTGACTGTGGGTAAGTGGTGTGTGGATGGACAGTTGGATACACAGATGGATAGGCAGATGGGCAGGTCCAGAGGAACTCAGTGAACCAAATCTCTGAGGTCTTCATTTGACAAAATTTATGGGAGGAAGTCTTGTGTTTTCTGATTCTTTTAAAATGTTTGAGTTTTCTAGTATTCTCAAAAAGTCTCACAATTTCTCTTTTTTAACTAGAGAATTGATAGAAGTTGGATGTGAGGATAAAACCCTGGCATTCAAAATGAATGGCTACATATCTAATGCAAACTACTCAGTGAAGAAGTGCATTTTCTTACTTTTCATCAACCGTAAGTGAAAAAGAACTAACGCAGGAGTATATACACAGAGAATTGTAACCCTGGAATTTCATGCCAAAGTGTAGTTTGATTAGGAAGAATCTCTAATTTTTGTCCTGTGAGCCATTGCACTTTACTTGCTGGAATGAAGAGACTTAAGAAGCACTTCCTAAGCAGAGCTTTTTTCTGTCCTTAGATTAAGGGCTACCATTTGAAGGTAGTGCAGTGCACAGCAAAACAGAGAGAGGGGTACCTTGGATAAAGTCATTGTTATTCAAGTAAAAAAAATTGAATGCCAAGACTGTTATGGTTGATACAGTCTGTCAACTTGGGGAGTCCAGAGGTTTGGCTAAGCGACTCAGCAGTTCTACATCCCAGTGTGTAAAGGACATGCCCTTCCTGCTCTAGGATGTTGTTCCTTGTGTCAGTGTGAGAAGTTTAGAAGGTTAACTGTGTGATTCAGCAGGGAGCCAGGGTGCTTACTTTGTATTCATCCTGAGCCTGTGGAAGAGGAGGGCGTGGAGATTGTGTGAGCATTACATGCTCTCTAGGTGGGGTAGCCTGTTGACAGTATAAGGGAGGGAAAGAGGCTTGCTCACTCTGCCACTCCCCACTTTGCTGTTGTTGCTTTGCTATCTTCCTCTGCCATGAACGGTTGTCCTCTGGCATGTGCCACTCTGCCTTAGAACCAGCCAAATATTAACTAAAACCTCCACAAACTGTAAGCTAAATAAACCTTGCCTTCCTTAATTTTGGGCGTCAGGTATTTTGTCTCAGCAACAACAAAAAAATAACCAAGACAAAGACCCTTAAATTTTTTCTTTCTTTCCTTCCTTCCTTTTTTGGGTGGGTGGGGTGGTGGTGGGGGAGGTGGAGGTACTAGAGATTAAATTAAAGACCTACATTGAAATACATCTCTACATCTCCAGCCCTTTTCTTTATAATTTTTATTTTGAGAGAGAGTCTTGGTAAATTGCTAAGTTGCCTAGGTTGGGCTCAAACTTGCCATCTTGTCTCAGCTTCCCAGAGGGCTGGGATTGTAGGCATGCACCACCACACCTGGCTAAGATTTTTCTTTATAGACGTGAAATTTGTGACATAAAGAGCAGTTTCAGGGAGGCAGTTAACTAAATGAGTTTAGATTTTTTTCACATTTGTTTTTCCCTGTTGCCATACTGTTTGTACAATTCTTACAAAGTGCATACTATTTTGCATTCTGCTTTAGAACTTAATTATATATTGCAGGGTTTTGATAGTGAGAGCAACAACAAATAATTCTACACAGAATCTGGCTTAATTGTCCATTTTCCCCACAGAAGATGCATCTTTCCTTATCTTCAGTTTTCATCTTTTTTTTTAATCTCACAAGATCTTTACTTTTCTTGTTTTAAAGAATTTCACAAGTTTATAGCCTTTGATTTGTTTGCTATATATATACCTGAAATAGTATATTCCCCCCTCCCATTTTTAGCAGTTAACCAACTATAAATATCTATTAATGCATGTTTTATAGGAATTATTTAAAACAATACAGGAAGAGTGAAGAGAGGACTTTTATAGAGAGATGCTGTAAACTCATTTATGTTAGCAGTGCTTTTTCCTGCTACATTAGAAGGGCTTCAGCCTGATATATACAGCAAAACTTGTTGCATAGAGGGCTCAGAAAATGTTTCTCATGAGTTTTTCCTCACCACAAAGAGTAACAGGTTTGCAACACATTTTGGCTACCAAGTAGACAAAGGAAAATCAGTGTAAGTGCCATCTGACTGCCCTGGGACTGTTTCTGTCGAGGCTGCTTAACATAGCCTTTGCGTTAACAACTGCTTATCTGTCCACAGTGTCAAGTTTCTAGTCACAAAGACAGGCCAGATTCTTAGGCATACCTGCCCCTAAATGCTATACGAGCTCACCTAGGTTGCAGAGGCAAGGAATACTCTTTTGGCCTGTCTCCAGTTCAGACTTCTCAGCAGATGGGCTCGAGCTATCCTTTTGTCAGGTGCCCACACACGCTCCAAGCCTGTGTGGTTAGGATGTGTTGCTGAGTACAAGGACATCATTGAAGGCACTGTGGAAGTGGTGAGCCATCAGCCAGTCATCTAAAATCTTTCTAGAGCTGAAGGAAAACTGGTTTCGGAAAGAGATCTTCCTCTGCTTTTAGTCTTACTTCTCCCAGTCTTTCGTGTTTCCTATAAACCTATTTCCCTCAGATCTGAGTCATTTGCTGGATTACCTTAACACACATTTAGCCATTTGTACTGCCTGAAATTTTGGAACACTCACTCTTCCCCTTCATTGCTCAGCATGGATACCCCATTGTTGGAACTCCCTGAGCAGAGTTAGCTGCTCTCTTCTTGCACCATTTAGCACACACACCTCTGTAACAGTGGTAACCACTTGGGTTTGGAACTATTTGCCTGCATAGAGTGTCCCAGCGCTTGGCACATGTGAGAAATAACTGATATGTCTTTGCAGATTGAAAAATCTGAGACTGCAAAATGGGCTGACTGAGAGGAAGGGAAATGGAGAGGCATAATGTATTACCCTTTCATCTTTTCTCCTCTTGATGAGGGGAGAAACTTCCAAGGCCATAGTGGGATGCTGGCAAGTGATAATATATAAAGGGGGCCTTTGTTTCGGAGGATGTGCTGTGTGCATCTCTTCCTGCAGTGATTTCATGGCTTCGTAAGGGTATTCATCTATGACCTCACTCGTAAGGACAGTTTTTAATCTGGTTACTTTTCATTTTTTAGATCGTCTGGTAGAATCAACCTCATTGAGAAAAGCCATAGAAACGGTGTATGCAGCGTATTTGCCCAAAAACACACACCCATTCCTATACCTCAGGTAATGTAGCGTCGAACTACTTACCCAAGACTTAAAAGGACAGAAATTCTGTTACGATCTCTTCTGTGAAAGAGGCTTGCTAGTAGCTGAGTACCAAAATTAGTGAATCTCACATGTTATTGGCAAGGGGATGTTCTGTCTCTTGTCACAGGCAAAAAGCAATTTTTTGTCATTTATTCACTAACTTAGCAGACTCTCAGAGAAAGCCTTTGCTGTTTTGGTGACAGGAAAGTGAATAACGTGTCTGACCCCTTCAGGAAGGGATGGCCAGCTTATGGGCAGGGTAGACACATGTGCTCAGGAAGCTCTGAGCAGCCCTCCTGGGTCAGTCTGAGGAACCAAAACAGCTGCAGTTTCCTTTGCATGCATGAGTTTTTTGCTTTATGGAGATTCTTTGTGTAGCATAACTATTTTTGACTACCTCATAGTTCACTTAACTAATTTACCAGTCATAAATTAGCTCTTGCAGAGGAGGGGTAAAATATCATAGTTAAGAGTAGTTTTTAGTTTAAATGTAGATTTGTTAACTCCTACATGTATTCCTTCACTAGATCAAGTTATCACCTTGTTCCATCTCCATATTATCAGGGTCTAAACAGAGGACAGAAACTACATAACAATTTGAAAAACATTAATAAAAGAACTTCAAATGGGATGAGAATAAAAGGAGATTGGATGGTAAGAGGTAAAGTGACAGGGATGCAAGTGTAGGGAATAGCCATTACCCCTATGCTAAGATAAAGTCCCTTTGCCCCCTCCCTCTGCCCCTTCTGCGCTGAGATGAATCTTGTTGAAAAGGATGTGGCTGCAGGTCACTGCATGGAGGAGAAGTCAGTAAGGTACTCCCCAGGTACGACGCTGGGGTTGCTGGGGAGAAAGGCCCACAAGAAGGGCCCACATGGACCCAAACCTGGCACCAAATCCACTTCCTCCTCCGTTGTCCTTCTGTCACGCTGTACTGATAAAACCCCACATTACAAAGTGCCATCATCACAATAAGCAATGAAGGATGGGTTTGGGAGGAGAGCATAAAATAATAGCTGCCACAGCCTCTGAGCTAACTCTTGTGTTACATTTTAATGGTAGAAAGTTCACTTTCCTTTGTTCTTATTTTGACCCTCATAATACTGTAAAGTAAATAAGGGGCAGATTAGTGGTTACCTTATTTTTATAGATGAGAAAAGATCCAGGGAAGTTAATTGTCTAACATCACATAACAAAAAATTCCACTAGTTTGAGAATGCTAATAATAACAGTATCATAAACATGTGAGGTACATGCAAATTGCTTTTTATGAATTTAATCCCCGCCGTAAGCCTGTGAGATAGCTAACGCTATTGTGCTCACTTTACAAATGAAGAACCAAGCAAAGAAAGATGATGTAACCTTTCCAAAACTGGTTCCTAAGTGGCAAAGCCAACATTTGAACAGCCACTGAGACTTGACCGTGAGGTTTTGACCACTGTCATTTGACCCCACATCATCTTGGCCACAGCATATACTATGTGTGGATTTCCCCCCATCTTCCACAGTCTAGGTCACTGTACTCACGCACTTTTTTTTCCTGCCAGTTTAGAAATCAGCCCCCAGAATGTGGACGTCAATGTGCACCCCACAAAGCATGAAGTTCACTTTCTACATGAGGAGAGCATCTTGGAGCGGGTGCAGCAACACATTGAGAGCAAGCTCCTGGGTGCCAACTCCTCCAGGATGTATTTCACTCAGGTAGGGCGCATCTCCAGCTGGCTCTGTGGTACTTTGGCCGCTTTGAAATGTGCCCTGTCAGAAGTGAGAGCCCAGATTTTTGCCCTGTGCTTTAGAACTTTCTTTGTAAATATTATTTTGATAGTTTTCTTTCAGCAACATTTACTTCTGTGAGCCTAATTGTGAAAGTATTATTGTCCTTCAGTCTGGAGTCATAAGGCCTGAGTTGTCTTCCTCACTACCTCCATCTGGGACCTTGGGCCATCTTCCTAGGTATCTGAAAACAGAATAGGCAGCATCTTTAATGCCTTCATTTTCATTAGATATGTCCAGGAGGCCACTCCCACCCACACAGGGAAGAGTGTAGGGTCCAGGCCCGGAAACAGTAGAAAGAGTGGGCAGAGCAGGGCCTTCTGTGTCAGACAGACATGAGTGACCAGCCATGTCACTGCGCTTTCCTGGCCTCTAAATTGCCCTCAGTAAATTTGGAACTGATCACCCCCATATTTAAGGACAGTTACAAATGGGTGAACAGTAGACAGAAATTATCTCCTCCAGGGCCTAGCACTGTTCATCTTAAGACAGCCAAATAATTTTGTCATAGCTAAATCTTGGAAATAACGCAAATGCCCATCAACTGAAGAATGGACTAAAAAGATGTGGTATTTTTATGCAATGGAGTATTACTCAGCTAGAAAGAAAGATAAACTTGAGGCTTTTATAGGTAAATCAATGCAACTAGAGACCATACTCATAAGTGAAATAAATCAGACCCACATGTGTAAACATCATATTGTCTCCCTAGTGTAAGAACCAGAAAGAGTACATAAAATCTGAAAGGTACAGTAGAGATTGTGAAAGGGAAAGAAACTGGTCAAAAGGAAGGAACAACTGGGATAGGGAAAAGGAGAAAAGAAAGAAAAAAGAAAAGGAAAAAAAATATATATATACACAAGATAGCTAAGATAATTGTACTACTAATTTCTATTGGTTTATTGAAAGCAGCAGTTAATGCTTAATTGTTGAATCAATTTTGCATGCCTTTATCTGGTAATCTGGACACATACTTGGAAGATAACAATATGCAATATAACACTTACTGTTAATTTCCTATCTTGTTTTGAAATTGTGTTCTTTAAAATAGACATTGATAGGGGCTGGGGATTTAGCTCAGCGGCAAAGCGCCTGCCTGGCAAGCTCAAGGTCGTGAGTTCGGTTCCCGGTACCGGAGAAAAACCAAAAAAAAAACCAAAAAAAATAGACATTGATATACAGTAAATATGAGCTAAATGCAACAACTATACCTCCACTTACAATAAGAATTCAGCAGTAATAACATAAAGTTAACTAAAGATTAATAAAGCTTAATGGTTATACTAGTAAAGATAAAAGGAGTAAGGAATGTGAAAATGAAATAAAATTTGAAAAATTAAGTCCTAGAAGATGAGAAGGAGAGAAAAGTGAGGTAATGGGTTGTATTAAGGAGTAAAAAAATTAATAGAATTAGATAAAAGTAACAAAAAACAAGGAAAAAGAGTAAAATAAAGAAAAATTGAGAAAAACATTAAAAGGAAAAAACCCAATGAAGAAAAAGACAATTACTGTCTGTCTTCCCTTTTTTTGAGTGGTGAGGAAGACACACAAAATCACTCAGTGAGGCTGCTGCCTGGATGTGTGAAGTGGGGGTGAAGAAGCAGGTTGGGAAGTGAATGATAAAATCCTTTGCCTAGATTAGAGTGTTGCAGTAGTAATGGGCCCATAATCCAGGATGTTTGGGTCAGAACCATCCTCTGCTATGCCTTAATCCCAGATGGACTGGGTCAGAATCCAGGATGTTTGGATCTGG